GAACACTTTGTATATGGGTGAGGTAGACCTTGCGTAGGTCGTCTTTCCTCCATCCCCATTTTGAGTGCGCTACAGCGCCGAGCATCCTCATCTTCTGTGTGGCCTTAGCTATTACTGTCTCAACCTGTTTCCTGAACGTGAGCCTGCGGTCGAGCGTGACTTCCAGGAGTCTTGCGTAGGGCTCATACTTAATTGTCGAATTATTTATCGTGATGCATGGCTTCCATTCCGAGTCAGATGTTGCGAGCGTGAAGAATGTAGTCTCGCTCTTTGAGCTGTTTAGCGTGAGTTTCCATCGCCTGCTCCAGTCAGCAACGGTGTCCACCGCTCTTTGTGCCAGACTTTCGGCGTCTCGTGTCGTGCCTGATGAAGCGAGGATAGAGACGTCGACAGCGTAGAGTGAAATTGTGAGATCATCCGGAAGTAGTTTCGCCAGTTCGTCGATATAAAAAAGGAAGAGGATGGGTGCCAGGACAGAACCTTGTGGGAGGCCTTGGTTCATTTTCCTGCTATTACTCAGTATTCCGTTGAATCAAACTCTGGCTTGACGATTATGAAGGAAGTCATTCAGCCACAAAACGTATGTATCTGGGATACCTCTGTCTAGGAGGGTGGGGAGTAGGCTTTCTCGCCAGACCGTGTCGTATGCCTTTGAAAAATCGAGGAGGACGAGTACCGATTTCTCCTTCTTTTGGAAGCCATCGGAAATCTTCTGAGTAATTCTCAGAATTTGGTCTTCCACACCTCTCCCCTTCTTGAAACCAGCCTGTAGTTCGGAGAACCAGCCGTTCCGTTCAGTCGTTCAGATACCATTCTCTCCATAACTTTGATGACACAGGATGTGAGGCTTATCGGTCTAAACGACGCTAGTTCCGATGCTGGTTGTTGTTATTGTTGTTGCTATTGTTTTCGCTGGGTTTTCTTTTTCTTTTGTCGCTGCTTTTGTGCAAGGGTGACAATAAAACAAAATGTGTCAGACAAGGAGGACCGAGTGTATTGTTAAAACAAACACATGGGTCTCCACCACTCGGAGAACGAGTGACGCTTCTGTCGCAATTAAGCTCATGTTGACGTCCATTGTTACAGTAGTCTCCGCCTAAACGCACGGTGCTCGGGAGGGCTCCCTAGCGTGTGTTTATACGAAGCGTGCGTTTACATGAACCTTTGCAAAGGGAGGAAGGCACGCAGTCATCTCATTGCCTTGATATTCTAGTGACCTCCCTTTGGGCAGGGTGTCACTTTGGGCCGATAATGTGACGACACATGTCTGTATTGTAAAAGATTCCGCGGCCGGCTGCGGTTAAGACTGCAAAGGCATTGAATGTGTGTGTGCGTGGGGGGGGGGGGACAGAAAGACAAACTCGATGTAATGAAAGCACCATAAAATGTCAGGGACCAATAGCCTAAAAAGAAATTGTTGGTGATAGTCATAGAGACGACGGCCCAGCCACATGGCTTTCCAAGCGACCACCTCCGACCGTAAATTCATGAACGAGCATTCACGCGTGTTGCGCATCATAGGCTTACGTCTAACTAAACATTTGCCAACACGCAGTCACTCAAACACCAGTCACAAACCTTCTCTCAAAGAAATGCATTTCCAGTAACCAATCAAATAACGTTTCAGTCCCCCAACCCCCCAACATTTCACTGACTAGTCCTAGACCTATGTGTCTGTGGAAAGTCGGGTGTGAAAACGCTGTCTATCACTCTCTTTGTTCGGCGTGAGGGGCAGTCTCGCCAAATATCCGGTTTTTCTAGGCTAATCTTATGCAAGCTGTGCAGATCGTACAGTAGTCGTGGTGAAAATTTCCCTTAGTCAAGCTTTACCTGTCAGAGTGTTTCGCAGATCGGAGCGTGCGTTTAGAGGGAGTGACCGTGCGTTTGTACGTCTAAATTATATAGTAAAAAACCCGTCAGATGACAAAAGTGTGCGTTTTAGTGGAGCGTGCTTTTGTATGGCGTGCGTTTAGGCGGAGACTACTGTACTTTGTTACAGACTGGGTAAACAGTGACCACTCATCTCACTTACGATTTGTGTATGAGTTCTGGGCAGGGCTTATGGGTTATGAGGGATCACACGCTTACCTCACCAGCAGCTGAAAATTGGTAGCTATTGGTAAACAGTGGGAGGGGCATACGCAACACGATTGGTTGGAGGGACTATCTTACAACAACGACAGGTGACTGGATTATGACGGCTCACCCACAACGCCAAGGGCCAAAGCACAATTTATGGCAAAACAAAATGGAGTCACTAAGGTGGCCATCTAAGACAGGTGTTATTGCTTGGTGTGATAGGGGTTGTGTGTTAAAATAAGATGGCCGCGGCCGCGTTGGACAGGTGCCCGTTTTACACAGTTAAATTATGTAGAAAAAACGCAAGGGGGGAAATGGAAAGTGGCCGTTTGTACAGGTGGCCGTCTTATAGAAGTGGCCGTTAGGGCAGGTTCGACTGTAATATATAAGATTGTTACAGGGAATGTGGCGCAGAATTTTCAGGCTCTTCTTTTTGGTTATCTCCTTAAACATTCTTAGCTCTGTGTATACAACACAACCAAAGTACCTTCTGAATGTCTTGCTTGACAATTCTCATCTGATCTTGTAATAAAGAGGACTCTTGTTTGATTGCGTCAAGCTCTCGCACAACTCTGAAAGAATTGACATAAAACAGATGCATTCAGCTGTTTAACCTTTCAGCAACAGCTATGAGGGATCACAGTACTAGATTTAAAAATTGAACCTTTTGTGGATCTTATTAAAGTTCAAAACATGTTTTAAAAACTACTCAAGAGATCAAGTCAAACAACATACAACCAATTAGTCACAAATCAGTTTATCAATGCCAACAGAATGCATACCATTTACAGACTATTTAACTCAAACTCTCTAAAAGCATATGGTGAAATGAAATATGCACCAGCTATAGCATGGAAGATCTTGTTCAGCATAATATAATCAAAATGCGTGTATGGGCACAAAATAGAATGAACAAAATATATATGTTTCTTAACTTTAAAAAAAAGAAGATACTGAGACAATGGGCCTGATTTTTCAATATCTGTCAATCCCTTATTATGGAAAGGTAAAAAAAAATGATACAAGAAATCAAACCTGTCAAAAGTATTGTCAACTCTGAAAAGAGTGAATCGCACCAAATTTCTACTGAATCCTAAATATTACCGTATAACATTTATTCTAAGAGAAATTAAAATTATCTTATATCATCAAAGCTTATTTTTGCAAAAATTTAATTTTACTTCACATTGCTATTCAACAGCATGCAAAAAAGCAGCTGATGCTTGCTACTACTCTACCTTGGCAGATTCTGAAGAGCCTGCTGGCTAGCTTCCTCCAGTACATTGTTGACTTCCTAAAGAGTGCAGGAGAGAAAATATATATACACATTAAAATAACAACATTAAATCACTTTCTCAAGTAAATACTACAATAGTGTATGTTCTGTCAATACCAAATCACTCTTATTTGCAAACAGCAGAAAACGTACCATGTCCATTATATAATGTGAACTTTGTAGAATAAGGTGCTTGAAAAATGAATTACGTAACTCAACAATTGACACCTTCTGCAACCTCTAAAATAAATATAAAACGTCAAATGACTATCAAACATTCTGAGGAGCTTCTGTTCAAGTTAGTCATTCTAAAATGTGTCATGACGAGGTGGAATCAGGCACTAGTCAATTTTTGGGCCTATGGAGTTATTGGTATCATCTGAAAGCCTCTCCATTTGCCTCATACAAGTCAAGATATCGGCAATTGAAGGAGGTTGGGGTCACCTGGTTTCAGATGTAAAATTAGCAAGAAAATAGCCACTAAAGTTGAGATATTTCCTTAGCTTGAGAGTCCTTGGACACTTCAAATTTACATTTTTTAGGCCTTTAATCAGCGTTTTTCCATAAAATCCATACATAACAGTTCTTGAATGGACATAAAGGTGTTGAGCCAAAAAACAAAAATTTGAAAAAAAAAGTCCAAACCTGAAAAAAAACGCCAGTTTCTTGACTTTCATTATTTTGACGAGCGCCTGATTTCACCATGTTGCCTCACAAATGTTGTTATGTCTTCATTCAATAAAAAGTACATCAACATTATTTTCAACCATCCTGAACGAATTACTTTAGAAAAGACTAGATAGATAGATACATTTATTTGAAACAAGGAAGAGGTGCATTGATAAAAGAAAATTAGTCTTCAAATTTGTGACAGATGATCATAGCCGTATGATCACATACATTTCATTTCCCTTTCTATGAGTATAGACAGCTCACCTGGATGAAAACCTGCAGCTTCATGACCATAGTTGTCGCATATTGCTGAAATTACACAAGTTAGGAAGTTATCCAATTGGAATAGGAAAAAAAAAAAGAGAACAATAAAACTACACACAAGAAAACAAATACAACATAGTGAAACAAACTAGGTTTCATACATATTCTGTTTAGTGCAAATGATCATACATACTGAAACTATTCTGCAAATGTTTCTTGTTTAAAAACTTTCTAACTAAAAACTCCTACATTCCACTGTCGTAAAGACACAATTTGCACCAGACTAACTAAGTAACACCTTCCAAATATGACTTCCATTGCACAAACTAAAGGAGCTTATGATGAATAGCAGAATATTTCCAAATCATACATAAAGATTGACACTTGCTTGTAATTTGGTATGACCACATTCTAACTCTGACTCATTGCTCATTTTGGAAAAAAAATGGTTACCAAAACAATCATAAGATAATCATCAGACCACAGTCACAGTGTCACTACTTTCAGGACATTATAATTAGTATGGGGGCGAAAACAAATTCGCCCCCCCCCCCCCAACTCTCCCCCATCAAGGAATGTAGAATTCCAATATCTCTTTCTAAAAATTTTGCAAAACCACTGACACTGCAATATAATTTTATCATTCTTTTATTTTTAAGACAAACAAAAGTTTCACTGTCAGTACTGTCTTGTTCTTGGGCAAGTACCTTCAGGTAGAATCTCCACATCTGAGTCCACATTTTGCTTCCTTTAAATCTTTCTACCTACCCAAGATGTAATAAATCTATTAGTTCTTGTGTTAAAAAAATATGAGCACAACGTATGTGTATACCATACTATATAACATACATTACCATGTTGGGCAAAATGCCTTAACAAATTTCACAATGCTAAGGTGTAAATATACAGTTGTTACTTACATCCTTGGAGACACCAGCTTCTTTTTGATTTCGAAAGGCAGCATTGATCCACTCTTTGGCATCAAAATTGTCATCCATAAATTTTGAGTAGTCCTAGAACAAAAATTCAATAAGTAGAATTAAACTAAAAATATAGTCCAATCAATCCCTGTAAAAGAACAGCACATTTTCCTAATTTTGTTTGTCGACAGACTATTGATATTAGGTCACTAAAATTGGAAAGACTTCCATGATAACTGGCAACCACCCCAGCAAACACAATAAAGAAGAGACCTAACCCCAATTTTACCCTTGAGCCTAACCCTCTATTTCATAGCGGTCACTCATTACGGAATCCCTCCCCTCCTAAAATTCAGATTGCAACAGTAACCCATTAATAGTTGCATTTGAGGCACATTATTAGACCAAAACAACAATAACACCTTAATACTTGCGTTTATTTGTAGCACGGATAATATAGGTGATAATTATCAGCTAAAGATCTAGTTCTCATCATGAGAAGAAACTATGTCCTTGTCAAGAAACCTGTTGCGAAAAACAAATTCATGGAGATAGGATGGGAAGAGATCACGCGATGTGCCGAACTGTCTGCTGTGCAATTTTCGTTTAGCCTGCATCCACACATGTGTTCTCGATGTGTTCGTTGTGGATGTCTGGATCGTCCAGGTCCGCAAAGTGATGCTGATGAACAACAACTGATAATTTACTCGCGCCAATATTTGAAATTTCTATTCAATTAACATGTTATTGTTGTACTTGGGTTTAATGATGTGCTACGAGCCCAAGTAATAACGTGTTGTTGTACAGTGAGTCTAATAATTAACGCACCTAAAATGCACCTTTACCGTATGAATATATTAACCCTGGAAGCGCGTAGGCCCTATATATAGGGCGTGAGCCAGGCTACCTGGGAAGCACACAGCCTAACATATGAGGGACGTCCAGAAAGTAAGTATCGTTTTAAAATTATTATAAAAGAAATAATTTTCCTAATCAAAACGATTTGTTTTTGAATACCTCATACATATGTCTACTTCTCCACATAGTCACCCGAACTGTTATGGCATTTGTCGTAGCGTGGGACGTGCTTCTAAATGCCCTCATCGTGGAAAGCTGCCGCCTGGGATGTCAGCCAATGTCCAGTCTTTCCTGTGAGATCAGCGTCTGAGTCGAAGTCCTGCCCGGCCAAAAACATTTTTAAAAGCAGGAACAGATGGAAGTCACTCGGAGCCAGATCTTGGCTGCATGATGGGTGCTTCAACTGTTCCCATCCGAAGGAGGCGATCAGGTTTTGGGTCTGTGCAGACTTGTGAGGAGTTGCATTGTCGTGAAGCAGAACAACGCCGTCGCTAAGCATCCCGCGTCTTTGGTTTGAATCGATGAAACTCCTCACAAGTCTGCACAGACCCTAAACCTGTTCGCCTCCTTCGGATGGGAACAGTTGAAGCACCCATCGTGCAGCCAAGACCTGGCTCCGAGTGACTTTCATCTGTTCCTACATTTAAAAAAGCTTTGGGTGGGTATGACTACGACTCACACGCTGATCTCACAGGAAAGACTGGACATCGGCTGACATCGCAAGCGGCAGTTTTCTACAATGAGGGCATTCAGAAGCGCGTCCCACGCTACGACAAATGCCTCAACAGTTCTAATGACTATGTAGAGAAGTAGTCATATACATGAGGTATTCAAAAATAAATCGTTTTGATTAGGAAAATTATTTCTTTTATAATTATTTTAAAACGGTACTTTCTTTTTTTATAGGGTAATTGGTGGGGTGGGGGGAATCAGGCGCAGCACTTCTTTTTTTGTGAGTGGGGGGTGGGGGGTGGGCTTGCCTCCTTGACTAAGGTAAATTTTAGGGTAAGGTTGTTTTTTTTTAACCTTTTCTTCTTCCGTTCAAACCACGATCGAAATGAAATCATTATTTGTATAATTTTTCGCTTCATCCCTTACCGCGACACGGGCGTACGAAAAGAAAGAAATACAAGTAGACCGGTACGGAGAAAGCCGCGCTTGTCCACGATGGCAACTCAAAATACGGAAGTCGTTTCTATGTATTGCGAAAATGAGGTATAGAAATTTACTTTTTTTTTAAAGCCGATCGCATCAGCTTTCCTGATTTTCCAAAGGAACCTCATTAAAACCCTTCGAGGTAAAAAATAATTGCGTTTTGGGAATTTTGAAAGGTGATACACACTCCCACTTAACCCACTCAGTACCATAACGGCCGTAGCCGGCCGCTTCCGTTTCAAAAGCCTAATACCATTACGGCCGTAGCCGGCCTAGCCGGACGCGAGTTGTAGCGTTGTTTCTAGGGAAGTGTGCACGCTTGGTAACCATCATATTTAACCCGCATTTCGACCAATAAGAAAATAGATAATCATTCTTTCCTTGAGAGCAGCAGGGACATAACTCTGGAAATTTTAGTTGGACTAAATTCAATGTAAACTTTACTGCAGTTCACACGGGTCGCGTAAGCTAAGATCGAGCGTTCTTCGCAAGCCGCCGGCTTCGCGTTCAGACTGATTTACGCGAACTTTTGGATAATTTTAATGAAAATATCAGTGCTGGGGGAGAAAACCCATAGAAAGGTAATTGAAGTGAAAGTGACATTGATGGCGATCTAATTGTCCCTTTGGGGGGGTGATTCGGACAATGAGAATGAGGTCAATGAGGAGCATATATGACTAGATCTAAATCTAGATTACAACTCGGCTGATTTTATCTTCAATTATGAAGTACAGTCAACACACACAATAAACAAGTAATTTTTAAATTAAAATCTATTCATTTGTGAAGAACTTGTTTCAAGATTTTTTTTTATCAATGGATTGGTTATTTTATAATGATTTTTTCAAAATACCCACTACATTACAAACATGGATTTATTCCCCTTTGCGTGGTCCTGGAAATCCAATGGTACTGAGTGGGTTAACTCAAGTAGGTTTATAAGAACTTTTTTTTACTCAGTGGTAACACCAGCTGTTCGGCATGTATTACTACTGGACTACCAAAAAACTACTAATCATGTCTGCTTCCCTCACTCACTGGTCCTGTTCGAATCACGGTCCTGCGACTGATTTTGATCTAATCATGTCATATTATTACGTGTCTTTCAGATGTTAACATTGTCACTAATAAATTACTAACCAGGTGAAGAGACAAAGGAAGGAAAGAGGAATACAAAGTAACACAAGCTCAGCTTACTTTCTTTACTTTCTTTATTGCCCAACCAAATACTAAACCTTATCTTTTAAATCCCACTCAAAAGTCCCTTCTTTTATTGCGTAGGTTGGGGTGGTCGCTCGTTACAGAACCATCCTCCCTGAAAAAATTAAGTTACAATACAGTGTTTAAGTGTTATAATTATAGCTGTCATCTCATCAATACATAAATACTTCAAGGAAATTGTGACAAGCTGGGCAGCCCCCATGTTTATAACCGATCCACCGTGGCCGATGCGGTAGTGGGGCCTTTAGGGCAGGTTACTTCCGGTGAAACGCTGAGTGCTTCTAAATCTAGGGTTAAAGAGAACCATCCTTGAACTTCAGCAACACAATGACAAGCCTCCCTTCCTCCACTAACAGGTCTTACTCTAGATCTAGATGTAGACTCTAGATTTTTCTAGAGATCTCAAACTTGCCATACCAAGGCCAAAGCCAAAGGCAAAGGTCCAGGAAACCAACTAAGACCAAGAAGCAGTGCATAGATCTTGTCTGCAACTGCATAGATACACCAGGATAACATACCATAGCGCAAACAGTTATTTTGACTGCGAAGATTACAGGAACTCCAAAGCATTTACCAACTGCACAACGGCAGTTAGCTCAAGTTTGTTTTGTCGAACAGAGAACCAATTTCGACAAAGTCTGCGAGTTACAACCCGGAGGCTTCTCGGCTCGGCTCTTCTTGAGTTGACGTTGTTAGTTTACGCTGTTGATAAGAGTAGACTCCCTTGAAAAAGTAAGCCGTAAAAGGTGGACTGGCTCAGAGACCGTATCATTATAATCATTGGACTGGCTATGAGAGTCGTATTGTTTTATTTTATCACCTCTGATTTTACTCCTACTGCCGTTGCTCTGAAACGAGCTTTCAAACAAGTTGATTTTAGTTAATTCGTCAACACATCCCCAGGTTTTTTTTTAAATCGCTCCTACAGTCCCCTGATATTTTAGTTCCAAATATATTACTGTAAACTCCTTGATCTAGGCCTATATTTTTCTCCCGGCCCTCTGATTTGTTCAATAAACCCAGTGCCTCTGTAACCCTAACATCAGGGTCCTTTTTGCCCATTATTCTATTCATCCGAGTTTTTAACACTTTACTACTTTACTACTAAGAAGCCTAGATAGACTCATATATAATACTGGACGTATGTTGAAGGACGTCTTCAGGCCTAGTCAGGCCCGACCCTCGATCAGAATTGGAACCC